CGTGAGCGCGCCCAGCCGGTCCCACTGCGAGCAGATGCGCTGGCAGCGCGCGTTCACCGCGCCCACCTCGTGGTACTCCAGCGTACTGCACACAATTATCAATATTACTTGTCGCATCTACTTATGTCAGTAGGGTAAGGACCGAGATATGTCAAATATTTAGGCTCGGGATATCGTCCTAGTTTGAACATGTAGGGGGGGTGCAAAAGCGCACAAGTGAAACGGCCCATAAGTGGAATAGTAAATCGTAATTCTAGTTACTGAGGAAAAGACAGAATGAACGAATGACTGAGTGACTGAACGGTGAAGTCAAGGAATTATCAACTGTACGAATGAATTAATGACTTTCAGCCAAATACTGAAACGAATTTTAAATAATTCGCTTCGTAATCGCCGCTTACAATATAACAGACATCATAATATGATAGGATTTTAGAGTTTAAACGCTATACAATTTATGACGCTGTTTTATATTTGAATGATTTTTCAATACGAATGAATGAATGAATGTAAGGAATGTTCGTACTTGAGTTCTTGTGCGATGGCGGCGATCTGCTCGACGCGGTCCTGGTGCGCGGCGAGGTCGGACTCGAAGGCCTCGTGCTTCTTCTTCAGCGCCTTGATGTCGTACAACTTGCACTGCCGGAAGTCCTGCGACTGCAGCATCTCTTCCTTACCTAAATTAAACAAAATATTTCAATACTAGCTTTCGCCCGCAACTGCGTCTGCGTGGAATTAAAAAAAAACACAAAAGTCTATGTATTCTTCCAGAGTATCCTCTATGCCAGATTTCAAGATCCGTTTAGCGTTTACACTACAAACTGTAACAAACTTCCATCCAGCCATCTAAACTTTCATTTCATTCATTCGTTCTGTAGCACTTCTAGCACAATATGACTGACCCCTGGTCCAGTCCTCGTGGATGTCGGCCTTGTGCTTGAACTTCTGCGCGAGGTACTCCAGGCGCTCCAGCCGCATCATCTCGCTCAGCAGCCACTCTTCGAACGCCTTCTCCGCGATCTCCAGACCCTTCCATGCTTGCGCGATGTCCTGCAAATGTACAAGTGACCAACGTTATATATTTTTTATGTGAAAATTTGATGAAAAAAAAAAACTATACTAATATTATAAAAGAAAAAGATTTGTATTTTTGTATGTATTGAAATAATTAAAAGACTACTGGACCGATTTCAAAAATTCTTTCACCATTAAAAAGCTACGTTATTGGTATTTTTACTAGCTGTTTCCGTGCGGCTTCATCTGCATGAAATTATGAAAAAATTATTTTATTGTTAACATTTGTCAAAATGACATGACATGATGACAAAACATTGCAATCTTATTTCTTTGATGTTGGCAACTTGTAGCCTATGGTCCCTTTTCCACATCAGGTTTTTATCCAATTTATTTACTCCCTAAATTTCATAGCGTGAAATTATATAGCCTAAAGCGTGACGTAAGTGAGGGGCTTTAAAGAATTTTTCAAAAATATGCTGTGATTCCTGACATCTTACGCAACAAAGTAGTGTGTGTTTACGCTTTAATACAGAAGTGTAGATATAGATTTCACGTTAACGAAGTCGCGAACGAAAGTTTAAAATTATTGAAACCATTTTTAGATAAGGTACCTTAAAATATACCAATCTTACAAACTATACCTGATTTAGGCATTGTTTTAACCGTTTTTTCCTGATTGTAAATAAAAAATGTGAATACTCACAGAGACCATCTTGCCCTCAGTGGGCATGTATGCGGGGCGGTTGCTGAGGCGCAGCTTCGTCTGCAGCGTGTTGAAGTTCGTCTCCAGTTTGGCTTTCTGCTCCACGCGGGGCGGCTTGTGCTTACGTCTGGAAAAAAAACGATTTAATAAAAAAAAGGTAAAATAACATATAATTTTTGTAACTAGTATTTGCCTGCGACTTTGTACGTAGAATTAAAGAAAAACTTAGTAAGTAGTTTATGTATTCTTCTTTTCTATCTTCGACATCTGCAAATTTAATCGAGATTTGGCGAATCTCTGGAGATAGGAAGTAACAATCATTCATCCATCTAAACTTTTGCATCTTATCGCACTTCTTACTAATATTATAAATGCGAAAGTTTAGATGGATGGATGGATGTATAGATGGATGGATGTTTGTTAATGTTTGTAGCATTAACGGCTGAACGATCTCGATGAAATGTGTCATAGATGTAGAGGATAGTCTGGAAGAATAATAGAAAAATCCGTGTGAAACTAATTTTCCAAATAGAAAATTATTTCCCCGAGGACGGAATCGCGGGCAAAAGTTTATAATTTTAGTAAGATGTCAAGTAGCACTTCTTACGTTGTCAAAGTTTGTTACCTGTAAGTACGGTAATCTTCCAGTTTCTTCTGGCAGCCGGCGAGCGAGTTGTCGGTCTGGCGGCTGTTGAGCCACGGCATCGTGCGCCGGATCCATTCCAGCAGCTGTACAATTACGATGTTGTACTAAACGTTCTTGTTAGACAGACATGATAATTATAATCTTCATAAGATTCCGAATGTTTAAAAGTACTTAAAACGTCGAGAATAACTTAAACAAGATTAATGGCCTGTCCCACCACTGGCTGATAGAGGCCCAGATGGCTTAAAAATTACGTCACTCAGAGTAACAAAATCCGATATTCATATATTTTACACATTGGATTGTTGTGCCAATTTACAAGAATGCGGTAGGACTGACTCTAAATCCCAAATTCAATGTTATACATTAACCAACAAGCAGACATTTAAGAAATATATAGACTAGGAATAGTGAACTATTTTTTCTCCGGTACTTTCTCTGAAAGGTACTACATATATCTGCGTACAACAAAATAATAACAAGTTCCATTTTTGCTATAAAATAAACTATACTGCCACAAAATAAAATAAATTTTAATTTTGAAGATCTATCGATAGATTATCATGTGAAAAAGGTTTCAAATAAAGTGTCAACTATGCCTACTCTATATAGTTTCTTAAATCTCTTTGCCAACAGACTCTAATATGCTCGTAGAAGGTATATGTGAAAAGGCTAGCGATTATATCTATCTCTGTCACACTTATAGACTTAGTACGAGAGAGTTTGCAATTTTTTGTATACTTACATCGCTGGCGAGACGTTCGTACTCTTCCATGAGGCGTTCATTCTCCTGGTTGACTTTGAGAACCTTGCAGATGCGGTTCGCGGCAGTTTCAGCCTAATTATACATAATATAAAAAATGTTAACAAAACAATATTGAAAAAACATATAAATATGAGATAAAAATTTGAATAGATTTTGAAAGATTTTTCATGTTGATTTAGAGGAAGTATTTATGGTATTAAAATTGGTTTCCTTGAAAATTTGGTTTTCAATTGACGAAATTAAGCAATTTATAAATAAATATTACATAGCATCAAGTTAGTTAATTCCAATCGTTTGGATGCACAAAAAAGCGATATGAATTTAAAAATGATATAGCATACTCCAAATGTTCTACTGCTTATTATAATAAAAAGATAGGCAAGGTTATTTGACTTTATTATTCTATCAAAACTGAACTTTAAAAACAAAGTCATACAATGGATTGTTTTTTTTTTCACTATAATCAGCTTAAAGAGAATATCATCTAGCCAGTATCTGCAAACAAATGAAAATATAAAATTGTAGATAGGCTCAATATTTTCACTTTAGCTGTAAAACTAAGCCTAACAACTACACTCCCTTCTTAATAGTGGGTTTCCACTGTTGAAACATAGTTCAACATCATTAAAACAATAAAAAATGTCTAATAACCTTGCAATATACAGACCTTCTGAGCTCCCGAGAAGCAATGGTAGTATGAAGAGACGTAGGTCATGACCGCGCGCTCGTCTGGCATCGCCGTGTTCTGCAGATCTAGCAAGCGGCACGGCGACAACAGGGTTAGTAACATGCGGACGGTTTTTTTTAATTAAAAACAAACAGATTGCTTGCATTCGAAAAAAACACGAAGGAGGTTCTATATGTAATGAGGTTGATAATTTGAGTACAGTTTAAGGGAAACATTGCATACATTGAAGTGTTTTCTGTACTTATATAAATAAATAAATAAAGAGTAAGTGTTATTATTTTGTAATTCATGCAATCAGATCAATATCAAAGCCAATACGGAATAAATAATACAATTTTGTGCGATGAAACATTATGGTTTGATTTTTTTATCTTGTGATTCCTTAGATTATATTAAACTAGCTTTCGCCCGCGACTCCGTCAGCGTGGAACTAAAAGAAACCAAAAGTGAATAGCCTATGTGGTCTTCCAGACTATCCTTTACATCTATACCAAATTCGAAATCCGTTCAGCCGTTGAAGCTACAAACTCTAACAAACATCCATCCATCCATATAAACTTTCGCATTTATAATATTAGTATGATAGTATACGTACTGTATTTTGTTATACGTATTTGCGGTTTTAGCTGCAATGATTAATACGTAACCTTGTAGCATACCTGCTCACCTATGACTCACTGACTCATTACGCAAATCGGTTTTCGAATGTTTGTTTTTTAATTATGGCTATGGTATTTAAAATAACTTTTTCTAATTATATAATGACAAATATTAATATGAACATGTTTACAAGTTCTTGTATGTTATAACTGTTTAGTTGACTAGAAATATGGCTTATAAAAAAGATATAACGTAAACATATGTACCTCAATGTGTAATGTAAGGGGACATTCCTACTAGACTTTGTTATTGTGCACGGATAGCAATTTTTTTGAGGGGGGGGGGTTTGCAAGCATTCTGTTTGTAAATTCAACAAATAGTTATTAACGATAAGCTAGAAAACATTAAATTTAGCGTTACTAAGTTTCAAAAAACTCGAGCGTATGCGACGATACCTAAAAATTTCTAGCGCAATAAATGATTCCTGGCAATCAATAGGTTTTCCACTCGGATCATGCTATAAGTGACACACAGGGCTGGCGTTAAGGGCTAGGGAGGTTGTGGCAGCCATTTTTGTCTATACCTGCTGGGCGCCTTGGAACGCGTGGTAGTAACACGACACATAGGTCATTATGGCGCGTTCGTCCGGCTTTGGAGTGTTTATGAGGTCTGCAATATTCAGTCAAGCCAAATAAATATTCTGATACAATAAAGTCAATTTACTAATGAATCATTTATCGTCTTTCATTTGTTTTATTATTTCGTTGCATTTATATTTAAGGCCTGTCCCACAATTCTTGTAAATTGTCAGATAACAATCCAACGTATAAAATATGTGATGGAAATACCGGATTTTGGTACTGTATCTGACAATGACGTCACTTTTAAGCTATCTGAGCCTCTATCAGCCAGTGGTGGGACAGTACCTTAATCTTCAAATGGTAATTCAGTTAAAGAGCGTAACATACAGTTCGTAAAGTCTGTTCTATCTATGATTCGTTTATATAAGCTTCACATGACTTTGTATTAAAATAAAAGTATATTTGTGCACACATCAACATTCTCTCTTACGTAATAAGCCATTCTATGTCAAAGAGGCTATTCATATACCGGCCTCTGACGTACTAGGTTCTGGGATGGCAAACATTTTTAAACTATGTTGATTCTCTTTAAATAAATTTATTTTCCAATTCACTATTTATTTTTATATTATTTGATATATCTCTATACGAGATAAAAATTATAAGTATTAAATAAAAATGTTTATATTGTACTTTTTTAAAATTTGCAAATTACGACTTTCAAAGTTGAACCAAATGTTTGCGATACGTGTTTTTCGCTATCAACTTACCGTCGGGGTCCAACATGCGCGGTATATCGAGATACTTCTCAGCGACGTCGAAGGCCGTGTTCAAGTTCTCGAGGGGGTTGTCTTTGGACAGTTTGCTGTAGTCGATCAGGTCGGGCCTGTGTCTGTGGATGAGGGCGCAGAACGCCAGACCGTCTTTGAACGACAGGTGGAAGTTCTGAACGTTGACATTCTTGTATGGCGCTGTCTTACGTTGACACCAGAGGAGTAGACCTTCCTGGAAGTGTATGAAGAATAATGATTAGTCGCTTATGTTAAAAAAATGTAATATGGTGATATTATAAAGAGGAAAGCTTTGTATTTTGTATGTATTGAAATAACTCAAGAAGTACCAGGCTGATTTAAAAAAATCATTCACCATCAAAAAGTTACGTTATCATTAAGTAACAAAGGCTGTGATTTTGCTTTTATTTTTAATTTCACGCGAACGTAGTCGCGAGTAACAGCTAGTGTTTAATAGTTGTATTAAAATCACAAACGTTTATTTGCAGACCACCTAGTTATTAAGTAAATAAGCCTACATTACTTACAAAATTACCTTGGCAACGGTGAAAGAGTTTTTAAAATCGGCCCAGTATAGAGTTATACTGTTGTACATACAAAAATACAAATCTTTCCTCTTTATAATAGTAGTATCAAGTACATCGATATTCTTCTTTGGTTAACTATATGCAAATGATAGCAAGAAAGGTGTAGGTAGATCTATAACATATTAGTCAAGGAATGAAGACCGATTTAATACACCGTTAGCGATGATGGCCGCACATACTAATTATAAACTATTAAATTTATTACAGGCCAGTTACGGCTGATCTGAGCAATAGTTTATTTTAAGATCTGATCGCTCCTTGATCCAGATAATATCGTTCATTATATCAAACTAGACGTTCAATAACCCTTATTAGTATAGAAGTTGCATTCTGAAGGGATAGGTAAGATTATTATGGTCAAGCGTTTTAAATTAGATTCTGAACCAAATCATGCCACATTATGACGTCACAGCTCCCGTATCAAATATTTAAATGAAATCAGCGAGACAGATACTTTAAATCGGAATTTCCATGGCCCAAATAAATATTTACACATGTATTTTTTTCGGAATTAGTGTTTTTCTAGTGATCTTTGACTGTATTGTATTGACGTACAAAATACTTGAAATTACTACAATTCTTTTATCACAATTTATAGTTTACTAGCTTACGCCCGCTGTGGAATTACAAAATCAAAAGTAAGTAGCCTATGTGTTCTTCCAGACTATCCTCTACATCTATACCAAATTTCGTCGAGATCCGTTCAGCCGTTTAGACTACAAGCTCTAACATGCATCCATCCATCTAAACTTTATAATATAAGTAAGATTGTAAATTACCTTAGCAGTCATTTCTTCAACGGAAATATCCTGAATGGCGAATCTGAGAATGATCGTCCAGATCATACCCAGTGTCATTTTTAGGTTACCGTCGACTATTTCTTCAGCACCGATCGACACCAGTTTCACACCTGGAACATTGTACAAAACATCCTGAGACTTACGAAATCAAAATAGGATTTAATTCTTTGTTATATCATGTTGTAAATTATTTTACTTATGTTACACGCAATAATAAAGTAGTCAGCGTTATTTTTTTGTTTTCAAATTCCAAAATCATTGATTTATAGAAATAAATGTTGAAGTTGTCTAACATTTTGGTTGTGTTTTAAAACGCGTTTCTTATATCGAATAAATTATTCATTTCGTTAAGCTGTTACGTTAATTATTTAATTGTTGAGATAGTGCGGTATTGTGAAGCGTTAAAATATATGAACCAGGCCAAGGTATTTTTTTATACTTCGCTACCTCGTAACACGATAACATAGCACTTAAACTGAATTTGAAATTTTAAAAAAGGAAAAGCAGAAACAGTTTAAAAAACACCAGAAAAAAGGCAGGGTATGAGAAAAAATATGCTGAGTTGAGCTCCTTTATGCGAAGAAATCTGTTCTTTTGCGTTGTATTAAATATTTTAAACATACAAACCGCATTAGTTATTAAATTAGACTGGAATACGCTTCAAGTAAGGAATGATTCGACCAGAATGGAAGGATAGATTGCGGGGATAGATTGTAAAGTTGCGTCCCTACATTCCAATATTTCTAACTTACCTTTGGACGCGATGAAGTCCAAGGCTTTGTTGACATTGGCGATCTTGTGGAAGCGCATCTTGCCGCGGTCGGGCTTGGGCAGCGTCTCTCCGGAGATAACTTCGAGCAACAGCATCAGCTTGAGGCCATTCCTGAAGTCCTCGTCGATGTTCTCGATGCCAGTGCCGGCTTTCCTCAAGTGGCTGTTGCACCATGCTGTGAACGTCTGGAAGAATAAAACGTTAATAAGTCAGGTGAGGAATTCGGATTGAAAAAGTACTAAGGTGAGAGTTCCCAAATTGTTATTTATGAACGATTTAGTATTTTTACAATATTGGTATGTTGAAACATCCGCTTTTGTCCTCAAACACAAAAGGTTATGTATAATAATAGTGGTAAATGTCAGCTAGATCTCTATGAAAGGATTTGTAATCTGCTACTTCACTAAATAGAAGCAAAATTATATCTGTAGTAATTTTTTAACCAGTAATTGACGAAAAAACTGATTTTCGTTATCATTGTAGTCTTATTTACGGACCATCAGGTCCTCAATACTACCACTTATTAATATCGACGTTTAAGTAAATCTGATTGAATTTAACGATTTCAGAAAAAATATAGCGACAGTAACAAGCAATCGTAAATTCCAGCGTCGCCTTACGGTGACATTTTTATTACCAGCATATATCTGAAATCAGTACTAAGGTTTGAAATATTTACCCTTTAAAGTGCTATTCGGATAGTAAAGTTTAATGTATTGATTTCAAAAAAGTAAGAGGCCCGTAACCTCTTAATTCTCAATATTACGCAACTTACCTTTCTCCATTTAGATTGGTGTTACATTTTAAAGTAATATAATAGTAATAATTTAAAGAAGTTAACAGAAAAAGTATCCAAGTAAAAGTATTTAGAATCATCTTGTTAGACATTTGAAAATCGAAGAACTTAGATATAGACCAGTTTGAATTTTATCTAAGGCAATGAAGTCAACCGACCTACTTTTGATAACATTTATTAGAGAATTTAAAAATTAAATTGAGAAGATATTGAACTAAAAGGATCTATCAAAATGTTAATTTTTTGTAAAAATTATAACACGTAATAAAAACGGATTTCTAAAAACAAAGTAATCGAACTGTTAGTTAACGATGTACCGTAAAATGACATTGTTATTTAAACAGTTTACTACAGTATGGTAGCTGTACTTCGGGAAACACCGATTGCACTTGAGCGAATCAATACTGCATCGTGCAGGGGCCGCCGAGGGGTCCGACCCTCGGACGAATTTGCAAGGGGCATTACCACTCCATGTTCACACTTCTATTGGGCACAGTTACTTTAAAATATTTAACTTAACATTTCAATTACATGAAAATATTATGGTTCAAAATAAGCTGAGTAAGACCGAGCTTAAATACTACTTTAAGTGAAACGTTTTAATGATTTATTCAAAGTAGGACTCGACCCCGTAACTTATTTGAAAACTAACCAATTGAAAATTAAGAGATTTAAAAATGGTTACGATATTTTCGCATTTTTATAGAAGTTTGTATCTGCAATAATATTTAGAATTGAATGAAGGTTTCTTGTTACGAAAATAAAATTTTATATCGAATCATTTAACTTCAAAGTCTAGTATTTTCGGCTGCTTCTTTGCGTCATTTGTTTAGTTTGCAGTTAAGCCGCTAAGCCGTCAATGATGCCGCTGATATCATCGTAATGGCGTCATGCTTTACACCACTTTCCATTTAAGATTGAAGATTATTAAAGCTAAATATATTTAGTAAAGGTTAAGTGAACTGTCAAGATGTCCAAGCTACAACTTTTAGAAGTTTAATGTTGGACATAGCCCAAAAACAATTTTAAATGTCGAATACTCGTTAATTAATAAGTAGTAACCCTAATAGTCTTTTCTTCACGAATTAAGTTCTCGTCTTCTGGCGTTCATCATAAAAAAAGAAGAAAACTTTGTTTGTTTGATTGTAATGAAATAACTCGATAACTACTGGGTTGATTTCAAACATTCTATTACCGTTAGAAAGGTTATGTCTATAAATAACATAGGCTATATTTTTTATTTTTTTATTATTACTTTTAAATTTCCCGCGGGCTTACGAGTAGTTGCAGGCAAAAGCTAGTGCACAAATATTAAAATTATCTTATTTTAATTAATTATTATATATAAACTACTATTTTACAATCACTGTCTTTTCTCATCATACATTTTCATTCAGAAATCGATGACAAACAATATCTTATCATAGTAATCGTTATCAAGTAAACAAAATTCATTATTTAAAATATACTGTAACAGTTTCAATAATGTGATTAATTTTTCAAATGTTTATTGAAAAAGCAGTTCGAGCGAAACGAGATCTTTTATTACGCATAAATTTTGAGTTCAATTTGGATATTCAAATAAATGTCTTGCCGTTGTCGAACATTGCCCATGTTAACGAGCTATTGTACTTGGATTTAGCATATTGCGTATAATATTCGCATTAGCCCTTAAAGTATGCAAGTATCTTAGTTTAGTAAACTTGTCTAAATTACATCTATACTCTATACTATTATAATAAAGCGTAAACACACAATTCTGAGTTGCCTAAGATGTCAGCAATTACAGCATATTTTGGAATATTTCTATTTTCAATAAAAAGCCCTACACTTACGTCACGCTTTAGGCTATATATTTTCACGCCATTAAACTTAGATGGTAAATATTTTGGATAAAAACCCTAATGTGGGAAAGAGGCCATAAGTTGCTGCCAACATCAAGGAAGCAAGGTTGCCATGGTTTGTCTTCATGTCATGTCATTTTGACATTTGCAATTGATAATTTGACACATGTAAACAATAAAACAAACATTTCATATTTTTTTGCAGATGAAGTCGCAAGGGAACAGCTAGTTTTTTTTAAGGTAACTTACTGAGATAAAAATCTCGACTCTTCATTTATTCTAGTTCAAATATCGTACTAAGTTCGATGTTACACCTACTCAAAATAATTTCCATTTACACCGTAGTTAAACATTCTAGTATAACTTATTCTGTCACTATCCTTTCATTAATCTTAGTCAGCAAAATATTTGTATTCAAGCGGTACGATTTCCTAATCCTATCTATGTTTTAGAACGTCTACGGTCTATGCACTAATTTGGAGATCACGAATTCGTGACTTTTGTTACCTCTAAATGGTAATACTTTTGTCTGCCGTCTCTATATCTTGCAGACAAAAGTACCTTTTGGTTCATGTCTTAAAATAATGTTTCAGAGACGTATTTGTACAGTTTTGGTTAGTCTTTGCTGATGTGTATTTGATCAACATCAAGCCAACGCTTAGAATAATTAATTGCAGTAGGAGATTAAAAGAAAGTAAGGTTGTAATATATACGGTATACAAGTTTATCTCGTCGCGGTTGAATACTTTTACTTCATTGCATTCTTGGCGAATAGAATCGCATACAAAATTGATAGGCGCGCCACAAGCCTGTGCAAACGTACCAAAAAAACACATTGCTAGGGCCACGCCTATAAAATTCAAACGGGATTGGTTCTATAGCAAACAAGCTTCAAGGTCTCTCTCTGATAAACAAGCTCGATCCATTCAATAAAATTGCAATCTTGCATTAGTGATGTTGACAAATCAAAGGGCTTCGCCGACCTCATGTTAATTGAATTAATCGATTTTGTACACTCGACAACTTAGTGAAGAAATCGAGTTTATTATCTTATTATAGTTAATTATTGTAGATGCTATCTGCGGAGCGACTCGACAGTTCTATTGTTGAATAATTCACAGAGCCGATAGGTATAAACAAAGGCTATAGAAATGCGGGTAAAAAATACCAACGCACACAACAGTAAAGAAATCGATAAGTTGTTACGGAATCCTTTCTAGATTGTTCGGTCAGAATTATATTTCGTAATAATATGAAATAACATTACAGAATGTAAATTTATCAATGTTAGCGAGTGCAAGCTTTGCAATTTGTTATAATAAGGTAAATGGATAACATGATTAACACACTTCTTTAGTTAAACTGGCGGCTTGATAATTTAAAACTTTACAGGAATAACAGATTAACTGAAGATATAAGATTAAATCGAGGACACGTAATAATAGGCATTCATATAACCCTGCATCTACTTGTTCTTTAACATCGCTTTCGACTTTTCATTGAATAATTTTGGATAAACAGCAATGTACCCGAGAGAAACGTGAAGGTGTTTTTAACTTGTTTTAAATGTAACACTTAATTTATTACATAATCCACTCGTTCAATTGTTTGCATTTAGTTCCGTATTTTGCAAAGTCATCGTAAACAATGTCATTGACACTTGATACGGACGTCATTGATGTATGAGATTGTTTGAAAGTATCGCAAAAATGCCCGCACGACAAAACTGACCCAACTGCATTACTGCGATGGTACACAATGACTCATGACTGAAGATCTTTTAAGACGGAATAAACATCGCACGGGAACCAGATAATACATTCCAACATCTTCCGTACCGTGATGTTCCACGGCTGAGACACCTTATACAAAAATGTTGTCGTCCCTTTCATTTTCTTAAAAAACGAGAGAGAGCAATATGTTTTTGAGTGGACATTTCGGCAGTGTACGCATAACACGTAAACCTTACAGATAAATCACTTCAAACCTTATGCAAATGCTTCACTATGTTTAATAATTTGACATATACGAAGCAAGCATATTACTTTAATGTCAAACGATTAACGGTGCCACTAACGGTCACTGGTTGTAATGAGATGTTCGGCGAAATGAAAGGAACTGGACACATGTTATACTAATTACATTTAGGAATTAAAATGTCATTACAAATTACATTTTTTTCTTAAATTAACAACTTCAGTGACCATCATTCATAGTACAAATCACCAAGAATATAATATAAATCACGGTTTCCATTGAAATTAAGAAAAAAAATGTGAAAACACGAATGCGTTTTTAGCAAACCAAAATCAAATTTGTATAAAAAGAGCTTAAATTAAGTAGTTTAAATATCAAACTAAGTTATGAACTAATACGACGTTTTCTAAACTAAATATAAAAATATCTCATAATATACTATGCAATATAAACCGTAGTGCTGTCAAACAAAACACTCGAAGACGACCTTTGAGTACGTCCTTGAGACAATGCGCACGTGACCTAGAATGTGAAAATATCTAGAATTACCTTGCATCCGTGCCGGCCG